CAATGGCGGTCTTTGAAAGACTGCTCCAGTTGAGCGTCTCAAGAGCCCTAGCCACTTTAGCAACGTCAGGAACTGCAGAGTGCAAGCGGGCAACACATACATATTCGTTACCAGCCCCTGCTGCGATTTCACCAGCCGTGTGGCTCGATCAATGCAGACAATGAGGTTTCCAGTGACTTTGGGGTCGAGGGTTCCACTGTGACCCGTTTTTTCGACCCGGAGAATCCGTTTGATCCAGGCAACAACCTCATGTGAAGATGGGTTAGCGGGTTTATCGAGATTTAGGATACCGTACCTGATGTATTCAGCCAACGGCCGCTTGAGAGGCGAGTAGCCGGACGGTAGAGGAGTATAGTGTCCAGTGCGCACGTTGAGGCGGTCGTAGTTCTTGAGGAGTATTGGCCACTGAGAAGTGTCGATGGTGGGAGTGAAGCTCTGCGGCTTTATGGTGAAATCGGTGTTCGTGTCGGTGTCGGTCTCTTTTGACGGGTCGGTATCCGAGGCGGGAACCATGGTTTTCTTCTTGTGACTTTTCTTTTCCGAGCGTGATTCTGCAAGTTCGGACATTTCGCTTATGTTGATGCTGCAAGGGGTCGTTGACGGGGAGGGTTAGGATATAGGGTTTCCAGGGTTTTATTCGCAGAGGCGATAAGAGTAAAATGAGCTGGAAATGGGAGTTTATAAAGTTAGGGTTTTAGGGGTTTAGTGAAAAGAAAGCGAGAAGAAGGGAACTAAAATGGGCTTCAATTAGGCTGTACAAGATTGGGCCACGGGCCCACTAAACATAGCATGCAGTTCTGGTTTATTATTATTTATTTTTGTAGATTTAATTCATGTGTTTAATAAAGTTTTTAAGGAAAAAGTTTTCATGTGTGTTTTTTTATACAATTTTTAAATAATTTTTTAATGAAAAATATCATTCTACTTTGATGATCTGGCTACGGAAAAAAAAAAAAAAAACTTTTGTAGACTTATGAAATTGACATTATACTATAATATTTATAAGAGAATAATATTATGTTGATTAAAAAATATCTCTCAATGATTTAATATGAATATAAAATATTATTATAAACTGTCTTATTGAATAATAAAATGACATTAATGTCTTTGATTATTATTTTTTAAATAACAAAAATTTAAATGATTAAATAAATCAATAACTAAGATTAATTAGTAAAAAATTATATAAATTTTCCTCCATCTTCATATATAGAAAAGAAAATTTAAATAATTTTTAAACGAATAAGTTTCAAAAAGTAATTTAAAATTTTTTATTGACATTATTTATTAATTCAATAATCTATATATATATATATATTCATTACTTGAATAAATTAAAATGTATTTAAAATTATATTTATTTCGTTTACGATTCTAATTATCCAATAATTAATAATTTATAAATATTGTTCTACCGAAGAAAAAACATTTTAAAACTTAATATACTTTTTAGAGTTTTAAGTTTCCGCTATACAACAACGAGAGCTCACATAGAATGTGTTAGAAAGCGCCGGGAAGATGATCCATGAGCTTCAACCACCAGTCTCGAACCGGAAACTGCACCCGCCATGCCTGGCCGTTGCCTCTTGACAACCATTAACAGGCGTGGCATTTACACTCCAAAGTCTGCTTTCACTTCATTTGCATTCCTTTTGAAACGTCAAAATTTTTATTCCTACCTCAACCAATTTCCTTCTTCAATAACATCACAAGGATTCCTATATCAATATAGTTCATCCAGCTCTACACCCAATACTCAGCTCAGTTCTTCCCCTTTTTCGTGCTTGAGTATTGATTTACTCGAGTTTCTTGTTACCAGATACCGGGATTCTTGTTGTATGAACGACGCAAAACAGTTCCATGTGAAAGTATTCAAAAGTGGGTTTGATAAAGATTTGTTCTTGTGCAACACACTTATTAATCTATACGTGAGAAGTAGTGGTTTAGAATCGGCACGTAGGTTGTTTGATGAAATGCCGGAGAGGAACTCTGTTACATGGGCGTGTTTAATTCAGGGTATACCCAGAACGGGAGACACAACGAGGCATGTGTTCTGTTTAAAGAAATGGTTTCTGCGGGAGTTTGTCCTACTCGTTATGCGCTCGGTAGTGTTCTCCAAGCTTGTCAGGAATCTGGATCCTGTGGCCTTGGATTTGGGTTGCAAATTCATGGTTTACTGTCAAAATCTGCATATGCGTCTGATGTGGTGGTTTGCAATGTGTTGATATCAATGTATGGGACTCACATGGACTCTGTAGCATGTCCTCATCGTGTTTTTGGGGATATACAGTTGAAGAACTCTGCGTCGTGGAACTCTATTATTTCAGTTTATTCTCAAAGAGGGGATGCGATTTCTGCTTTTCAGCTCTTTTCATGCATGCAAAAGCAGAACAGGAGCTTCGGTATAGTACCTAACGAATACACATTTGGGAGCTTGATAACGGCCTCTTGTTCTTATGTGGATTCAAGTATATGTTTGCTTAAGCAGATGGTTTGCAGAGTTCAGAAGTCCGGATACCTCTCAGATCTTTATGTTGGCAGTGCTTTGGTAAGCGCATTTGCTAAATTTGGTTTGACAGATTATGCCCGAAAAATCTTTGAGCAGATGAGTCAGAGAAATGCAGTCTCCATGAATGGTTTGATTGTGGGGCTGGTGAGGCAGAGACGCGGAGAAGAAGCAACTGAAGTTTTCATGGAGATGAAAGACTTGGTCAATATAAATCCTGATTCCTATGTAATTCTATTGAGCGCTTTTCCTGAATTTCCTGTATTGGAGGAAGGTATAAAAAAAGGCAGGGAGGTTCACGGATATGCAATACGAACAGGCTTGAATAATGTCAATGTTGGAATTGGCAATGGGCTCATCAACATGTACGCTAAATGTGGTTCGATTGCTGCTGCTATGATAGTTTTCAGAAACATGGCTGACAGAGATTCAATCTCTTGGAACTCCATGATTTCTGGCCTCGACCAAAGTGGTTGTTTTGAAGATGCAATCACATGCTTTCTTGCAATGAGAAGAACTGGATTTGTAATTTCAAATTTTACGATAATAAGTGCTATGAGTTCATGTACCAGCTTGGGTTGGGTTGTGCTAGGTCAACAAATACATGGTGAAGGGATTAAGCTGGGGCTTGATTTGGATACTTCAGTTTCAAATGCTCTCCTAGGATTATACGCAGATACTGGTTATCTTACCAAAAGCTATAAAGTTTTCTCCTTGATGCTGGAGCATGATCAAGTTTCATGGAATTCTATGATTGGAGCATTGGCTGGTTCAGATGAATCAGTTTCTGATGCTGCAAGATACTTCTTAGACATGATGCGAGATGGATGGACTCCAAACAGAGTGACCTTCATAAACATTCTTGCAGCTGTCTCTTCCCTTTCACTTAAGGAACTTGGTTTGCAGATACATGCTCTAGCTCTAAAATGTAGTTTCTCTAAAGATGGTGCCATTGAGAATGCACTTCTAGCTTTCTATGGAAAGTGTGGACAGATGGATGAATGTGAGAAGATCTTTTTTAGAATGTTTGAGAGAAAGGATGAAGTTAGCTGGAACTCTATGATTTCTGGCTATATACACAACGAGATCTTGCCCAAGGCCATGGATTTGGTATTGCTTATGATGCGAAGGGGTCAGAGATTGGATTGTTTCACCTTTGCAACTGTTCTTAGTGCTTGTGCATCTGTTGCAACACTAGAGCGTGGCATGGAAGTCCACGCTTGTGCTATAAGAGCTTGGTTAGAAAATGATGTTGTAGTTGGAAGTGTGCTTGTTGATATGTACTCTAAATGTGGAAGAATAGATTATGCTGCGAGATTTTTTGACAGAATGCAAGTAAGAAACTTATATTCCTGGAATTCAATGATATCAGGTTATGCACGTCACGGACATGGTGAGAAAGCTTTAAAGCTTTTTGGAGAAATGAAGATAGAAGGCCAGCTACCTGATCATGTAACATTTGTGGGAGTCCTATCAGCCTGTAGTCATGTGGGGTTGGTAGAAGAGGGATATGAACATTTCAAATACATGAATGAATTATATGGATTGGTTCCTAGGATGGAGCACTTTTCATGTATGGTGGATCTTCTTGGGCGGGCAGGTGAGCTTGATAAGATAGAAGAGTTCATAAGAAGTATGCCAATGAAGCCTAATGTCCTGATTTGGAGAACAGTTTTAGGGGCTTGCAGCCGAGCGAATGGGAGGAAGATGGATTTAGGGAGGAAAGCTGCCGAAATGCTTTTTAATTTGGAACCCGAAAATGCTGTTAATTATGTTCTTACGGCAAACATGTATGCTGCTGGGGAGAAATGGGAGGATGTTGCCAAGGCAAGGATGGTAATGAAAGAGGCAGCAGTAAAGAAGGAAGCTGGGTGTAGTTGGGTGAGCATGAAAGATGGTGTGCATGTATTTGTTTCTGGTGACAAATCACACCCAGATAAGGACTTGATCTATGAAAAACTCAGAGAACTTAATATAAAACTGAGGGATGCTGGATATGTGCCACAGACAAAATTTGCACTTTATGATCTTGAACCAGAGAGTAAGGAGGAAATTCTGAGGTATCACAGTGAAAAGATTGCAGTTGCTTTTGTTCTAACTCGAACTTCGAGACTACCTATTAGAATTATGAAAAACCTTCGGGTTTGCGGTGATTGTCACTCTGCCTTCAATTACATCTCAAAGATTGTCGGTCGGCCGATCATACTACGAGATTCTAACAGATTTCATCATTTCCATGATGGTAAATGTTCATGTGGGGATTACTGGTGACCGCCTGCTGAAAATTCTCCATTTATAGCAGGATAAATTTTGGAGGTAAAGTAAGTAGTGAAATCTCAGTTTTTACATATTTCATGTTTTATTGACTGAGTTCCACATCTCTGCACATTAGATATAACATTTGAAATGTAGATGAACAGTTAGGAATTTGCTTAGGATAAAAAATGTGTAATGAGATAAATAGCACCTAGCCTTTATACAGGAGAAATAACTGTCGTTGCGTACTAGTATAATGAGATAATCAACTTCTTAATATGTAGACACATGAGTAGAATAGTCTGACTGGAACATATATTTATGAAAATGCAAATCATTCAGTTAATTAATGTCTATTACTATTATTATTATTATTTTTTAGGATTTGTTTCCCTCACCCCTCCCTTTCATGAAGAGCCAAAATCATTAGTCTCCCAATCTCTTTTTTTGGCCCCACCGTACCTCTCACGTGTCACTTGACCTGCTTGTAGTTTTACTTCCTTTACCCCACCTCTCACTTCAAATCACATCCGTCCACGTCACTCCGAATAATCCACAGGTGCCATTGGATATGCTGCCGCGTCTACACTCTTGGTCCGGTTCTATCCCGTATATCCTTTCCAGCTCCTTCTCCCTATTTTCTTTTTTTTTTCCTTAAACCTACTATTGACACTCTTTCAAGAATATTCGAACGTAAAATGCCCCTGGACGCTGCACCCATCGGGCATTCCTTTTCCCAAAATTAAACATCCTCTTTATAAAAGCCCCTGTACCTTTTGCTGCATCTCACTAACCCAATATATATACCCACACACCTCCTCTGCCCAACTCCCTGAACTTACATAGATATATATTACCATTTTTGGAAACAGAAGATGGCAAGTCTTGCAAGAGCCAAAAGAGTCACCGACCGTCTAGACGACAAGGTTAGGGTATGTCTCTTCAGCTACGGCAGCAGCGGCAGTGAACACTCCGCCGAAGATGACTCTCCTTGTCTTTCTGAGCTCGTTCACCGCTTCCTTGAGGATGATCCCAAGGCTGAGCCCTCCGGCTATGATTCTGCCTCTGACACAATGGACTCCGCCCTCGACTTTACGGATGTGATCCAGGAAGTGGAGAGATTTATAGCCAGAAGCAATGCAGATCCATACGAGATCCTGCTGCGGACACACGTCTCCAAAGCGACGGAAATGTTTTCGTGTTTCAGATCGCAACGGGCCATTTTCAGGCGGAAAATGATGTCGTTTCTTCGCGAACTGTGCCACAATGCAGCAATCTGCAAGACTAAGTGGGATTCACTGGGCGGACTTACTGCCGGGAACTACGAGTTTATCGATGTCATCTGCTCTCGTGGCGTATCATGCCAGGTCCGTTACTTCATAGAGGTGGACTTCCCATCCGAGTTCGAGATCGCCAGGCCGACTGACGAGTACGCGCGTCTCTTGCAGGCGCTTCCGAGAGTTTTCGTGGGGAAGAGCGAGGAGCTTAAGAGGTTCATACGGATCATGAGCGACGCAGCTAGGAGATCGCTTAAGAGCAGAGGCTTGTCTCTGCCTCCGTGGAGGAAGAACCGTTACATGCAGAATAAATGGTTCGGTCCGTACAAACGAACTTCCAGTCCCAACCCTGCATCCTCCTCCACGACGTCAATCCCCCCTGTCAACGGCGTTAATTGCAGATCGGTGGGGTTCGCCGTCAACGGCCACCATTTTGTCCATACTAGATGAATCGACGACGGAGATTTGTAGAAACCACTAACATTTCGAAAATTATATCCGCGTTATTCTGTTTATTATAATATCTATGCATGTACTTGTAATAACGAATAATTCTAGTTGTTTGGTTTTTAAAAAAAATAAAATTGTAGTTGTTGTACATTTTTCTGGTCTATAAATATAATAATTTTTTTTGAAAAAAAAAAAAACGTGTGAGAAGTGAGAAAGATAAGTTAGATAATTGGATAAAAAGAATAGTCGTACGCGGCAAATGCACAATGTGAACATGGCGGCGCATTACAGGATGTATCACATGCATGCAGCTAGTGATTGCAAGTCAGATCTTTGACTCAGTCTTGGCCGCTTGATTGTCATCACGATCGCATGTATTTCGATCAGACGGCCACAATTGATTGCCTAGATCTGGAAACGTACAAATTAGCAACAGGAGAATTAGCATTTATTTTATAGGATGAGGTGGCAAATCTATGTGATGTAGTTAATTGTGGTGCAGGGAAGGATGTGAAGTGGCGATAGATAAAAGATAAGAGAGATTTGACGTTGAGCGTAGGATGATAAGAATGCGCTCCCCCTGAAACAATGAGGTAGGAGTTGTGGATAAGGTTTTATATTTTGGAAAGTGAAGGAGTAGTGAAGTGGCCCAATAGAAAATGGCCAGTCAAGTATGAGATAGAGACGTCTTTGGAGTCACTGGGGTCCATCACATAGGATGTCTGCTTCAATTACTCAAAACGGAGCGTTTTCGTAAATTATTAGAAATTCTTAAGATTTAATTTTTTTAATTTATTTTGAAAGTATTGATTCTGTTAATTTTGAACAGAAAAAAAATTTAAAAAAAAAAAGTAAATTAAAATTAATTATTATCTTCTTCAACCTTCCATATTCCTCGTAAAACCCCCCACACCAAAAAATACTTGCAGTTTCATCTTCTTCATCAAATCTGTTCTATAAAACAGTCACCGCAATAATATGGTTTAGAGGTAGCTGCATATACTTATTTACTGCATAAATAACAGATTTGATGAAGAATATGCTACTCACAATACTAAATGTTCCACTTACTAACAGTCTTAACCAAATTTCTCAATTCTAACTATATTACAATCATTATTGACAACACTAGTTGTCTTCAACTAGTTTATTCAATGTGTTATTAGTCATTAAAGAAGGGATACTCGTAAACATAGATGTCAAAAGTTCATTATAAATAGTAAAGAAAGAGTTTTATACGCTGCTTTCTCAAATGGTGACTTCCAGGAAAATAACCCTCCTCTCTTTCTTCCTAATCAAGAGCCTGATGCAGACAACATTCATCTATGCAAGACCTCTCTCTCACTTCTTTATCTCTTTACACAAACAACTGAAGGATGACTATAGCTCCTTATTATAATCTTTTATGAAAAACAGTTCCGATTACCTCTAGCCATGGAGTCCAAGAATTTTCAGGCCGTATAGAAGGTTGCAGCAGCAGTGAATCTGATGCTGTGAAACACATGCGCAGACTCATTATATGAGCTGGGAACAACATCAGGGTTTATCAGTATGATTCATCTGTGTTACTTTTATTAAGAGTTTTTTTAAGTATATCAGGTCTTATCACAAACGCACATGTGCACTTCATTTTGATGTCAAAGCAAATATATATAAACACATATTTAAAAGAACTCACAAGTCACAATTTTAATATTTCACCCTATTTTATCTGTTGCCCTAAACCACAACTTACTAATTTTCTTTTTATTTTTCAAATAATACTTAAGTTTCTTTTAGCCTTTTCCATTTAGAGTTAACAGAGTTAGCGTATTTGCAATAAATGCATAACTTTAAGGGATTAAAATGTTATTAAAAAAATATTTGAGATCAAATCCTATTATGTACTATATTCGGAGATTTAATTGATAATATATATATATATATATGTGCTTATTATTATGTATTAATAAATTATCCATTTGATTTGGGAGTGAAGCTGTGGTGTGAATTACAGCAGATTTAACCTAATGGGTAAGGAATGCTTTTGATTCAGAAAAGGAGCAATTCCATTGTTTGTGTAATTAGGAATCCAAATGTCTGTGAACATTACATCTTATATACATATATGCTTACATACACCTCGGGAGAAAAAGATTTCTACTTCACACTCAAAGATGTATGAAGCAGCTGGAAGATGAAATATATATGTGTTGCACTTTCTGGACATTTGTGAGCATCATAGCGGTGGTTATATCAGATCCACCATCCTTTATTCCTGTGCAGATATCATTTCTTTTACTCTTCATTCAACGTATCTAGTTTCGGCATGCATTTAATGTGTACTGGGAAGAACTGAAAGAACCTATTGCATGTGATTCATTTTCATATTTTGAATTAAATTTAGTCTATATGAAAGAGTAATATGCTTATTGCTTGAGGTTAGGTTGTATGAGAGGATTAAGGTTTATTTAGGTGTTCTTATCTTTTATCTTGTAGATAACAAGCACTACCATCATGGACTTCCTGTACCGCATCATTGACCTGCAGTTACTTCTCAGGCTTAGAATTTAACCACCTCAGTTGGTAGCCCCATATTATGTTAGTGTATATATATATATATATATATATAGTAAGCAAGTGGTTGACAAACAAACCTTGTCAATTTGAGTTTACATATCAATATATGCCTGATTTACTTTCATTGCTAGATTGTAAGCAGTAGAGATTGAGGTGTAAAAATCAATGAGGTTTCAAGAATCCTGAAAGTTTTGAAGCCTAATAATATTGATGGGAAATTGGGTGGTGGGAGTTGACTGTTATATGATCAGTTGACTGATAGATTTTCTGGTAAGATACATACATATATATATTTGCCTTTTGAATTCCAGTAGATGACAAATTGATGAGTTGTTCAAGATTTCAGAAGATGTCATGGGATCAGGATGAAGAAAAGGATTAGTTCAACTAAATACTGGCACTCCCTGTTATACATTGTTTAATATTCTTTTATCTGATTTCATTTCAGTTTCTAGATTAACTATTTCATCTTCCTTTTACCAGTTCTTTTATGTACTTCCAAAATGCTCCCTATATATAAGTTAAAAAAAATGAGAACTAGTCATCTTAATATTTTTTTAAAAAAGAGACAAGTCAGATTTTTATATATATTTGATTGGTATAAAAACTTAAAAAAAAAAAAAAAAATCTTTGAAGAAATGGTTGCCTTGTATAAGACTCTTTAGGGGACACAATGAATATAGTATTTGATATAATTGTCTTGTATATCTAAAAATCAGAGTGCAAGAAATGTACTTGTGGGGTCATTTGGTCTCCCACTCTTTCGGCTGTAGAACATGAGAGCGTTTGGTTGCAAAAGGAAACCTAAGCAAATTGGACTGTTAGTTTCAGTGTCATTGGTTATATGTGCTTCACCAAACATGGAATCTTAAACAGATGATGATGATGATGATGATGGTGTTGATATTTGATTGAGGCAGATGCTACCCTTCCAAGCTTACACGAGGAACTGCTGATTACCAACCTAACTCATCTTCAATAATATACCAATAAGGTCAGCCCTCGTGTTTACTGCCCTTTCGTAACGCTTAATCATATTTTGTTTAAATAATGGTTGGGGTATTGGTAAAAACAATATAAAAAGACATGCTCTGTGCAATTCACTCTGTAGATCATAGTGGCTGGTGGACTTTTTTTCTTGGATGGGGTGGGAGAAGGGGGTCTGGGTTTGTCTCTTTGTGCCTACTAAAATGGCTTAACATATTGGTCTTTGCTGATAATCACAGCTTGTAAAGTTGGATTTGATTCATAAAATCTTGCTGCCCTTATCTGAAATGGAAAAAAAAATTGAGATTGAGATTTTAGAATCTCCCAGTTTGGCTGGAGAAATATACCCTAGGAGTTGATTGCATACAGACGCAGTGCTTTTTCATACTTGGGACTAAAGAAATAGAGAAGTTTACATCATTCTTTCCTTGACAATTCTTCCTCACATCACAAAGATGGTCCATTGAAAAAGCTTTTTGACATTAGTGCGCATTTACCATGGAAACGACCCAATTTCTTCTTTTTAATATTTTAGGAAGAACTCACCTCAAACAATTACATCCAAAAGGGTTGAAACTTTCACCTGATTTCCCAAAATTTAGGGTATTCCTCCTTGTATCAATTGGCATTTTAGTATAAATCTAAATACTAAATTAGTTTATATATTATTTTTTTAAATATTTAAATTAATTAATGCATATATATATATATATATGGATTAATTTTTATCCGTTAAATATCACTACCATTATTAGTAAATTTATAACTGAGTTGAACATGTCATCGTATTAGTTGAAATGTTCCTCAATCTCTTCTCTCTTTTCTCTGTCTTTTCTTCCCCTTCCACTACTTTCTCCCAATCTCTACCTGCCATTAATTTCATCCTAACCCACTTCTCTCCCTCTCTCTTCAAAATAAAGACTTTTATTAATTTCAGGACTTGTAAGGTAAATTTTAGAAGTAACCTTTTTATAATTTTTACTGCACTAATTAAATTTTATCAGCATTTTAATACACTTTGATACATGTTTATAATTACTAATTTGCTGTACAATGTATTGAATCCTACAAAGGGACAGGTACTAAGTTGGCAGTCTACAAATAAACTAGACAATACCGTCCCATTCAGCATTTAAAAAGGGTAAAAAAAAAAAAAAAAAAAACGTGTGCTCCGGTGTGAAAGGATTGAGTTATCTGTAATCTTGTCTTCTTCTAAAGACTTTGATGTCAACTGAGTAGTCACTACCAATTGGACCTTTTTTGAAGATTGACAATATAATATTCCAGAAATATATATACCATATATATTATAATTAAACTCAAGGATTTACGAATATCTTGAAGATTATATTAAAATGATTTGCCCCGGTAATCTATATCTACGAGAACGTAACCACTAAATATTAGTAAAGACATAACTTATTATTTATATGGTATTCTAATATCTGCAACATAGAATTAAGTGAAAGCTTCCTGGCCCTGTAACATGAAATCATTGATGAACTAATTGAGAATCAGGAAGATATGTTTCTAGCCCCATAAAATTTTCTCAGTTGGTGTAATCGTGTATTAGCAGATAACTTCCGGTTACATGAACACAAATAGCATTTTAAGCCAAAAAAAAAGTGAAAAGACCAACCAAATTTCCAGGTTATAGAATTTTTTAATTTTCCTTTTTTTTTTTTTTTTTTTTTTTTTTTGAGGAAGAACAAGAAAGTCATAAACAAACCCAAGTCACCACGATCACTGCCTGAGCTTCAAACTTAATTCTCGTCTCATCATTCTAATGAAATCCTCACATTTTTTGTTCAACTCTTCCCTACTTATCAACCCAGTTTCCTCATCTTCTTCATCATCTACAACAAGAATCTTCTTTTCTTCCTCTTCATCTTTATCATATTCTCCAATCAAGATGACATTTTCTTCTTTCCCGAAAGATCCATCTTCTATTTTCTCTGCAAATGATAATGTTCTGATCTCTGGCACTACTTTTACTTGCTTGGTGTCCTCTGCAACTGATGATGCTCTGATCTCTGTCACTACCACTTGCCTGACTTCCTCTGCAACTGATGATGCTCTGATCTCTGGCACTACTTTTACTTGCTTGATTTCCTCTGCAACTGATGATGCTCTGATCTCTTTCGCTACTTTTACTTGCTTGATTTCCTCTGCAACTGATGCTCTGATACTTGGCAGTACTTGTACCTGCTCGACTCCACTCTTCAAGGAATTTTCACTGTGGGAATCAGTAGCTTCCAGCTGAGGATTCTCGATCAAACCCGAGTTCTTGACAATGATAACAAGAATGCCATTGCAGACGAGGAACATGCAGTTCTTGCCAATTGTATAGGTAGAGAGTTGCAGGAAGATATACACAGAGAAAATTAAGTTGTTTTCAAGGAAAGTTAGGAAAGAAGAGTAGGATAATATGATTGAGCAGAGAGAAACCATCACAAGGCATTTAGAAACTTTTTTGAGAAAGGGATAATTCTGTGATTGCTTCTTTGTTGCCTCCATGTTTCCTTTCTCCTGATTTCTGAAAGGAAATGTTTGAGAGAGAGAGAGAGAGAGAGAGAGAGGATTTGATGATGGAGAGATTGTATACTTCTTTGTGAATATTGCTTTATAGAATGTCGGATATAATGTGTGTGTATTATATATGAGCTTAAAACACCATGATTAAGAGGGTATTAGTCATTAAGTTGAAAGATCAAATGTAATTTTGTCAATTTAAGCAGACAGAATCCAGAGAGAACAAAGTCAGTCAACTCCATTTAAAATTTTCTTTTTATGTTGGGGGGGGCCTTGTTTTACTTAATGATCACAGTTTAACTACCAATCCTTTAAAAATTTTGATTTTGTTGAAGCCTTCATGTTTGGCTTGCTTAGGAAACTACAAAAAAAACCAACCTCTTCTGTAATTAGGTGATGAAACTAAACTTGAAGAAAAAGTTTTGGAGGTGGTGCTATTATTGTACCTCTGAAAATAATTAAAATTTTCGGTTCATTTAGTAATTGCATATTTTTTATGACTTTTTTGGTCTTCAATTTTCTGTATTCTTGAGGTAGGAATTTTCATGGGAAGTTATAATTTCATTGCTTGGAAATTCCAGATGGCAAGTCTTAATAACACTTATCAAAATCTTTATATTTTCAATTTGTAAGATAAGCGTTACAGGGTGGGTCAAACAATAATTTATATTTTCAATTTGACTGTACATAAATATCTTTTCCATCAATTTGTACGATAGTTAGAATGACTTGGACTGAGTTCTTGGAAGTTATCCCGTAGACTTTGAGTCAATGCCAAAATTTGATATGGGCTTATGTATAAAAAATAATAATAATAATAAAGCATAGTATTAAAAAGAATTTTCATATTTTGGTTTGTGTCAAATTATAATATTCATTTTTTAATCATATTAATAGAATGCTACATTAAATTAAATTACTTGTATTTAAAAACACTATCACCACTTTTAACATATAAAAAAAGTAGAATTATTACTACTATTACTATTATTATTATTATTATTAAGCAACAAATAGCAAACGAAGCGACGGCCACTAAACGGAATTGGGCTCTGTCAGGTAGGCTCAGGGATAGAATGAACTTAACTTAAAAGCTGATATGGGCCTTATTAGAAGCACTGTTTTGTCGTAAATATTGGACAAATTATACATGTTAATAATTTAACACCTGCAAATATTAATTTTATAATTATATATATATATATTAATTAATATGTAATTCCAATTATACATGTTAATAATTTAACATATACGTGTTAAGATTTCACGACAGTCTTGCACGTTGAAATCCAGTTCAGTTCAGTCATTCTCTTTCGATGATAATACAGAGTGAACCAATTTTGCATCAACTTCCATTACATGAGACCTTAGACTCAGAAATGTATTGTAAGGCCGTCCAGCATCCGAGAAGTTTCGCCTGGTACGTTGAACGACACATGGGGAACCGACCAGAGAAGATAGACATTACCTTTCCGTCTGAGTCACTAATGATTGCTCCATACCCGGCGTCGCCGTGCACCTCGAATACTGTGCCATCCACGTTGCATTTCCAAGTTCCTGGAGCAGGAGGCTGTCCAAACTGTGAGGAACCGATCTCTGTTCTGTTACTCAAACAACTTGGGACTTATCTTTCACACTTAAAATTTTTATAATTTTAAAACTTCACTAATTTACCTCATAAAATTAATACATATACCTTGCAGAAATAACATCAATTTCATAACTCTCATTTTTAACTATTATTTCATTTTTAATTATTACCTATATATTCCTAAAAATAAATATTTGAAACTATTTTAATTAATTAAACCAACATAATTCTCGACCATAGGTAGGTAGGTGCAAATGAATTGCAAACATCTTTACCGTCATTCTTTTTCTGGTTAAAAATCTGTCTTTCACTGTAAATCAAGCATCTGCTGCATTTTTATATGTCAACCTCCGGGAGTTACCATGACAAAATGTACCGTGTATATATATATATATGCGATATATATATGACATATATATATATATACATACGATAAGATAATCTTGAAAATATCTTTGAAAATATCCTGGCCTCTCATAACAGATTACAAACTGTTTGAAAAGTAGTTTTCAGTTATCTCTCCAAGAACACAAAGAGGCATCATTCTTTTCCCTCAGATGTCTACTCTACATGTATATATATGTGTGTGTGTGTGTGTGTGTGTGTGTGTGTGTGTGTGTGTGTCTATACATATTCCGTATATGATATAACTCCTTTCAAAGGGAAAGATTGCTCAATCTAAGTAATAGAGAGAGATTGCTCCGGGATCAAAGTAATAGACAACTTCAATGGCCCGGCATTTGAGTTCTTCTTCCTCAACAAGCTTTTTTCCTTCCTCCTCATTCAGGCATGACACCCCACGATCGCTCACTAGATTCATTTATCTGCCAAAAAGTTCTTCTCCCGCCACGTGGGTCACTCGGATTCAATCAAGAATCCATGTCACTAATCGTCTTCAACCCAATTCTCCAAATGGGCAGTCGATTAATGAAGTTTCTTTTCAGGATGGTGAATTCTTTAGTTCTCTCTTTCCTTCATTGTTGGTTTTTTTTTTTTATTCTGCATCGTTCTTCGTATTTTCTTTATTTGTTTGAGTTTGTATTTTAATCTTGGATGTTGATGAACTTTGTAGAGTGTGTTTGGAGAAGGAAGTTAGATAGTTCGCTAACTGTTTGCAATATGTTCTAGCTGGAATTATACTTGTCATTCTTCTTTATTCGTTTCATTAATTTTTAAGTGGCTGATCTTCTAGTAGATTCAGCCAACAAATCTATGGCCGAAGGAGAGCATATGGGGTCTGAATGGAAGGAGAGCTTTGTGCCTGTCCAAGAACCAGGAAATGTGGATCCAATTCTCAGCATCATTGTTGTTGGAGCTTCAGGTGATCTTGCAAAGAAGAAGATCTTTCCAGCACTTTTTGCACTTTATTACGAAGATTGCCTACCTGAGGTCTAATTCTTCCTTGCTTTATCATTTTTTACCTGGTCCAGATGCATGTGAAATGTGCAAATATGCCAGGCAAGCAAAGCATTTGGCCATGGCTGACTAGTACCCATCTTTGGTTACATTTCAGGACTTCATAATCTTTGGTTATGCTCGGACTAAATTGAGTGATGAAGAGCTCAGAAACATGATTGGCAGAACCTTGACGTGCAGAATAAATAAGAGGTATACCATCTTGCTAAATTTTCAGATGTTATGCTTCTAGTTTTATGTAATCAATAACGATAATGGACGATTTACAGTGAAAATTGTGGAGACAAAATGGAACAGTTCTTGAGGAGATGCTTCTACCATTCAGGTCAGTATGACTCTGAGGAGCATTTTGCAGAACTGGATAAGATGCTGAAAGAGAAAGAGGTAACTTTATTTTCTTTTCTTCTGTTGCATTGGACATAATGCAGTTGAGTAACCAAACTAATAATTCTTGTCATCAGAATGTCATGGGTTTTAAGTTTTGGTACACAATGGTGCAAGAAACTTTATCTGTTGCGTGATCTGTTTATGAAAGTATTACATGGTCAGAGCACACAGAGGATATCCATGCAGTTATAAGAATGCATTTGGTTGTCTTATTCATTTTTGTTATGCTGATTTACATCTGTGGTTGCATCCAATCATTACTAAGATTGCTTTGCGTCCACATTTTAGGTCTTTTGGCATTTCCATCATTGTCGTTGTATTTATTCCTTGATGGTTGAAAAAAACAAAACAAAACTCATACCAGTTATGATGGGATGTAATATAGATTGTGTTTTCATGAAGATCACGCAGAACAAAAACTTAATTTTTGACACAATACAAAGGTTACAGATGCTCTTTCAGCTTTCCAGATATTGAAATAAAATTTTCTTGAAATAGGAATGCGGCATTATTTTAAGGAGGCATTGGCTTCAAAGAGAAGCATTTTTGCATGCTACTGCCTACTTGGAATACAAACAGTTTTGGGCTTAATTTGTATTGGATGTGAATAAAATTCTTAAAGTACTAGGTTCAGTTCTGGTTTTACCTTACGGTCCCCTGCATTCTTACATTGGTGGAAATTACCCTTTCAGGCTGGAAGACTGTCTAATAGGTTGTTTTACTTGTCCATACCTCCAAACATATTTGTGGATGTGGTGAGGTGTGCAAGCCTTAGAGCTTCTTCAGCAAATGGGCGGACAAGGGTTATTGTGGAAAAGCCCTTTGGGCGTGACTTGGAGTCCTCCAGTGAGCTAACTAGATGTCTGAAGCAGTATCTTACCGAGGAACAAATTTTCAGGTATAATATTATGCTGCCTAGTATGTTTCACCAAGAAAAACAAAGCAATAACTAAATGAGAGTCTTCTGTGACAATTGCTTAGGATTGACCATTACTTGGGTAAGGAGCTCGTTGAGAATCTCTCTGTGCTTCGGTTCTCAAATCTTGTCTTTGAACCTCTATGGTCAAGGAACTATATTCGGAATGTGCAATTGATATTTTCTGAAGATTTTGGCACAGAGGGAAGAGGAGGGTGAGTTTCCAAAATTATTCTGCTTTAAAAATGGTTCTCTGGAAGTACAGGTTCTCTAATTTTACCTGTTATTCATCCCAGTTATTTTGACAACTATGGAATCATAAGGGACATAATGCAAAATCATCTCCTCCAAATACTAGCACTCTTTACAATGGAGACACCTGTTAGCTTAGATGCTGAAGACATAAGAAACGAGAAGGTATGAGATCTTTCTCTATTCTTCTGTTGTTTTTGTTATTTGATTAAAAGACCTTTCCTGAGATATTGGCATTTATGCAGGTGAAAGTTTTGAGGTCAATGAGACCATTGCAGCTTAAAGATGTGAAGATCGGTCAGTACAAGGGCCATATCAAGGGTGGTCGAACTTATCCTGCTTATATTGATGATCCGACTGTGCCTAATGCCAGTCTTACCCCCACATTCGCAGCAGCAGCTCTATTCATTGACAATGCCAGATGGGATGGGGTCCCTTTCCTGATGAAAGCAGGCAAGGCTCTAGATACTAGACGGTATGTGGAAATCTTTCATTTCAAGGAAAGTTTATAATATCGGCCTTATATATAGATTCTGATTTTAATCTGATGAAATTCCAGAGCAGAGATCAGAGTTCAGTTCAGACATGTCCCTGGTAACTTGTACAAGAAGTACTTTACTAATGATTATCTAGACAGGGCTACAAATGAGCTTGTGCTTCGAGTGCAACCTGATGAAGCCATATATGTAAAGATCAACAACAAAATTCCAGGTCTCGGAATGAGACTGGATCGCAGTGACCTTAATTTGCTATTTCGATCAAGGTATATTTCAAAAAAACAATATGTTTAAAAAAGATAAACTTTTCAAATTTGTTATTCATATAAGTCTGTTTTAATATATCTTAAGATGCATAATTAGAAGCATGGGAAATTCGGTTATGTACTGTATGTAAAGTTTTTTCAAGGAAATAAGGTTTTATTATTTTGTGTTCAAAGATACCCAATAGAGATTCCAGATGCATATGAGAGGCTTCTGTTGGATGCAATAGAAGGAGAAAGAAGGTTGTTCATTCGAAGTGATGAGCTTGATGCCGCATGGTCGGTGTTCACACCTTTATTGAAGGAACTTGAACAGAAGAAGGTTGCCCCAGAGCTCTACCCATACGGCAGCAGAGGACCAGTCGGTGCATATTATCTGGCTGCTGAGTACAATGTTAGATGGGGTGACCTCGATGGAGAAGATTCATAAGCATAAATGAAAAACTTTGTCAATTCTCTCCCCGCCCCCCCCCCCCCCCCCCCTCTTTCTTTTTGCTTTTTTTTACCTTTATTATGGCAATCATTGATTGACATAGATGATCTGCAAGCAGAAACATTGAAAAAGGAAATGATTTTATGTTGTAAAAATACCATGACAGTCTAGAAAACAGATTAAGATCAATCATTTGCAAACTTTGATGGGGAATGCAGTATGTAAGGTGAGAGAGAATAAAAAGCTGCTTTTTATTCTCTTAATACCTCAAACAATTGTCTAAAACTATCTTTTTTTTTTATTCTCCATAAAAGTAAAATAAGCTGTGGCTTTTTAAAGTCATTCTACTCTTCATCTTCCTTCACCTATTAGTGATTCATTCAGTACCAAAAATTACATATTTTAAACTTGATTTGTTAAAAGAGGAACAAAATTTTAATATAGTATTAGAGCTTGAAGCGAAAACAGACATAATTTCTAACATTAATCGACTAATAAACAACTAAGACAAGTTCGACTGATAAATCATGAATTCAAATCTTCTTTGGTAAGTCAAATCGAAGCACCGAAAAAAAAAAGTTCTATGTATTCAACAACATTAGCAAACTTTTCCTATAAAGCCCAAGCCAACTAGAATATAATCCACTTTAAGGTTTTTACATAATCCCTATCCTACCTGTGGTGAGCTATCCAACTACATAGCGTACATAAATCAGGTCCCATTTAGATGCACTAAACCTTCAGGACGGGAGATGTTCCAATCATGTCATTGTTCATCTTCATCTGCCTCAGCAGCAGCAATTTCAGAATCCAGTTTATTCATTAGTTGCTCACTTACATGTTTAGCCACAGATACCATGTCAAGAATGATACTTGGGTCCAGACCTGCACCTCCACGTTTGGTCAGCCCGCATATGTGGCCTTGCCTGTTGACAGATATCGAAACAGCTGAATTCATTTGAGATTCCTCTTCTGAAGTGGCATCCACAATGTAGTGTCTTCCCACCTAAAAAGGAACGTACATGTTAACCATGATATAGGAATGTTTATAATATTCTGGAAGAGAGGAAGGGGTGGTGAATCAAAATGAGACCACCTTTGTTAGTGTCACTATTACAGGGATTTTGGATGTATCAAACTGTAGATATTCTTCATCACTAATGTCAACTTCAGGTGGGTCATCACCCGATACCTCTCCTGCAACATGGACTCTTGGGATACCTGTATTGCTCAAAGCAGCCTTGACAAATAACAGAAATGAAGAAAATGATCATTGTTCATTCTTCACCGCCAAGAAAATAATTCTCCGCATGTGTACAAATAAATCAACAAAAATGCCACTGATGATATAGAACTACCATTCTGCCTCTCCTATGGGAGTTTCAAACCTCTGCAAGCACATGTCCCATGATAACAATAGTGAAAAGATACAAAACAGGTCGAAAACTAGGGTTGACATCCTGGCAACAGGCTAACAGCTATTTTACCAAGACCTCTTTACTTCATGATGACATACCCCTCCAGCAGGTTTGACACAACAGTGGGGAGAGCACTAAGGAAATTTACGATGGGTGGGTAGGTACATTAAATTTGATTCAAGGTAGCAGCCTAATTTAATTTAATTACCTTGACGGCAGCACCTAGAGCATCTAGCAAATTCCCATCAGAACTCACAACAAGGCCATCAATATAAAGATCCCAGCAAATCTTTCCTTCCACAACTATCAAAGATGACAGATCAATTCCAGCCCCTGATACAATTAATTACAATAACCATAATCATCGCTTGGAAATAAATTTTTTTGAAGTAAAACTAGCAAAAATAAATTATCAATAAGAATAACTTGATTTCCTGAGGAAATTCCATGTAAGACTAAATTTGTGGTCAGTAATTTTGCTCTGTAATGTTCCGAACCTGCTCCACTCTTACCACCCAAGAGACAACATTGAAGAGCCAATGCGAGTTCTGTTGACAACTCTTCACCCCCTTTACCCTGTGTAAGATCCAGGACCGAAAAAAATGCATGTTATTCTGTTCAACTATTAGCAAGAGAACTAACAGAAAAAACTTTTATTTCTAAAAGATAGATAAGAAAGTAAAACGTAAAAACCAGAAATTCAGTCAATGCCCCATCCCATCTTTACAAGAGAGATGACCTTACATATGTCATCTGAAAGCAGCACAACCATAGAGAGACTAAATTAAAAAAAATTGTAAAAAAGTGTTGTTCCCATATGCCATTTGATGTTGCTAAATTCTAACCTCTCTTAAAAAGAAAACTTCGCATAATACTTACTGACTTCAAATTACACAACACAAAAAAACGAAGATGCCGTTGTGCAGAAAGCAGGAAATTCAACTAACCTCAAACGTTGGTGCTGCAGTTGGACTACAATCAACATATATAGAAACCTTTCCCTTATCAGGTTGCAGTGAACTTGGCCTACCAAGTTCAGCCTACAATTACATATATAGTTAGCAAGAATAAAAAAACCCTGAAATAAATATAATGAACAAACTTCATTATATAATGAACAAAAACCTTAAAATATATATATATGAGCAAACAAAATCAGAGAACGTATGTATCATCTTTGAAACTCAACAGTAATATAAGCATCCAAAATAACACCTTTATACTGGCAATGACATCAGTTCCACCCATTCTGACTCTTGCTGAACCATTTGCCTACCACAATGCCCGTTAAAAATTACATTAGCAAAAGTGTTAGAAACCAAGACGAAGCTAAAATTGATAGTTCAAATAAACAAATTGCTATCTCCCAGCCCAGAAAGGTTAGAATGTCTTACCTGAGGAATGACTCCAGTTTCAACATAAATGGGTCGGTAGGTTAATCTTTTCCGTCCATCAGAACGAAGGTCTTGAGCAATCCCACCTTGTATAAAATGTCTTTCTCCAACAGAAAGTCCCACCATTCCTTCACAATCAAAGTACAACAGGGCTTATATTTGATGCATGAATCTGCAAATTGAAAGAAAATGAAGATAACACCATGAGCCGTTTTGCACATGACCGGCACTAAGGCAGTGGGCAGGCCTGAGGTCTTCCAATGCCAAAGAAAGCTTAACATACATATATATCATAATGAGCACAAGAACTCATAATGTATATCCTTCATATCCATTTCAACAAAGAGAGATTGCACGTTCATATGTTACCTCAAACTACTAGTCTGATAAATATCCTAAATCCAAGTAAAGATTCCACGAGAACAGTTCTGCTAATACCTGTAAGACAAAATAGAAAAAGATATCATGAAAAACAATATACTAAATTCATGAGAGAAAGTTAAGTGAGACATTCTTCTCTACTTGCAATGTAACACAATGGTAACATTATGGGAAATCAGATACCCAACTTTCACTATTCATTTAGCTGAGTAATAGCTAATTGAAGAGAAAACAATAAGAATTATGCCTTTAAGAGAGGTGACTCGTTGAGGTCAAATAACTGCAAATTTGAAAATGCCAGGTTTGGCCTCCCTCGGGGGCCAAGCCAAACCACGTTGAACCTTGCTCATTATATATATACCCGTATACAAGACTGGCCACGGCTCTAGGAAGAGGAGAGACAAACTCTATAACCCTGACCCACATCATTCTTAGGGAAATGAGTAATAAACTCTACAACATCAACTCTTGTACACTTAAAAAAGCAGAGATAAACTTCACAACCTCAACTCTTATTATAATAAAGGAAGAAAAAATAAACTCTACAACCTTGACCCTTTCCATAATTCACAAGCCTACATAGTCATGATTTTTAAGACTGTTCATGGGGTCCTGACATATGGAATCCTCCTCAAAATTCCCGCTATTAAAGGTATCTTTACTCACACAATGATCCAAAGAGAAATATACAATTTAAGGAGTGCTTGGGATGAACTACTCACCTATTGAATGAAGATTTTGCAATGTGCTATCAGGATTGAGGTTTCCTAGAACGTAATTGTGTCGAGATGGACAAGTCCTCTTAATGGGAGAGAAATACAAGTAAAATTTAACGTTGATTCTAACTCCCTCTAGACTCCTACTATAAATCCGGCAGGATTTCTGCAAAAATTTGGACATTCTCCTTGTGATACATTTAACAATAATAAATATGGCTCTTCATTTGCAAAACTTTTGACTATCAATCAATTCACACAATGCCCAGCTCGGGCCTCAAACATAAAATTCTCATCCGCTTCAATTCTCATGATTTCACAGGGTTCTTCAAACCCAATATATATATATCATACATGGGAAGCTAACACATGCATACTTCCTTAGCTATTAATACTTTCTTTTTTCCTTTTTCTTCCGATTTCCCAAATACACAAACATACCGTTCAGAGAAGCAAAATGAAACCAGAAAAAAGAATTGAAGGAACAAATACAGAAGAGGTTCAAATGCACACCTATCCTTTCTTCAGTTTTCCAAACAAGCGGTTCTTCCTCACTGCTTCTTTTTCAAAACTAGAACACTATTTCTCCTTTTTCACTCCCTGAATCAATATTTTTTCTTCAGCTTTCTCCTCTGTCATCCACACAAACGACTCAAATCTCTCTTCTCCTGTTTGCGCATACTACCTTGAACTCCAAAATTACTCCATCTTTTTTCCTTTTTTACTCCCCCTCCCTTCAAGCTCCCTGCTTCTCACTTTGTTTTACTCTCAGTCCCCTTCAAAAAATCCTCCCTCTCTTCTTGCTCCGCCTCACTCAACTCTCTCCAAAACCCAAAACTCTCTTCCCTCTTTTCTGCCGAAGTAGAGTACCAGATAATGAAGAAATAGCTAGGGTGAGACGGGCCTAGCTTAAGGAGTCGAGAAATCAGGTTGGGCTTAAGTGGAACATGCCCAATTATATTGGGTTGGGTTGAATTCCAGAGGTTTTCTTATTGGGTCTTTTGGACTTCGGTTAATTGGGTTTGGGTTTAGGCTTTCAATGGAAAAGTATCTGCTATATTTATTTTTGAATTGAATTCAATTATTTTTTTCATCTCTTTCTTTATTCTTTTTTATTTTTTATTTTTTTATTTCTCTATTTTCTTTTCTCTCTTTTCTTCTCTTTCATTCTTTTTTGATTTTTCTCTCTCCCACCCAGTAATGGTAATAACAATATTATTAATAATGATAATAATAATTTGTTTTGGATTTAATGTAGTGTTAAAGGATACAAACTCCTTAATTTGATATCGAGAAACATTTGTATCAAGAAATATAGTGTTATATGAGAACAATTTTTCTTTACAAATTTGCAAACAACAAAGATGTTAATCCCAATTTCTATGGTTTGTCATATATCGAGCTAAAAATCATACAAAACTTTTATTATATAAAAAAAAAAGGATAATAATATCATCTCAAAGGGTATTCAAATAGATCCCTATAATCATCACTTAGATGATACTGACACAGGTGCAACGTCCTCTCTATTATCCCCTTATCAAGATAGACCTCTTGAGATCCCAACACAAGATGATTGTAGCACTAATTATTCTGAACCACTAAGAAGATCTACCAAAATTAGATGACCTCTCTCTTACATGAAGAATTTTATATGTGAAGATACTTACGTTTTAAAATTGCATACTCATAATTGTCTAACAATGATAATACACTTTTAAGTAAGTCTATATATATATATATATATATCTTTTAGTATTTTATATGTCAAATTTACTAATCATCACAAAAACGTTGTGTTTTTTATCAATTCTCAAAGTAAACTTAATTCTTATCAAGAGGCTTGCAAGAATTCAAATTGGATAAAAATTACAAAGAGGACTATAAAGTGCAGATGAATATACAAAATCAAGTTCAAAATAAGACATAGATGTTCATTGATCTACCACATGATAAGAGGACTATAGGATGCAGATGATCTACCACTTAAATAAAATAAGACGCGAATGTTCATTAATCTACAATATGATAAGAGGGCTATAAGGTGTAGATGAATATAGAAAGTTAAGTTCAATGTTGATGAATCACTAAAGAGATACAAAACAAAATTTTTTATAAAGGAATGTATTCAAAAAAAATAGTTTGATTATTATATGACCTTATCTTCAATCGTAAAAATTGTATCAATAAAATTATTTATTTATTTATTTAACAGTATTAAGGGATGATACTTTCATTAATGTGATGTCAACAATATACTTTTACATAAAGAATAAATGAAGAAGCCTACATGGGGTTGCCACTAGGTTAGTCTGATAAAAGGAATAATGTGTCTAGACTATTAAAGAGTATGTAAAACCTTAAGTAAACATTATAGAAATGGCATGCACATCTTTCGACATGATTTATAGAGTTTAAAGTTGATTATAGCTTATTTGTGCAAAATACGAAGAAATTTCACTGCATTAGTGGTTTATGTTGTTGACATAATTACAATAAACAATGATATGAGTTTCACTAACCATCCAGGATCTATAATGAATGAAAAATTTGAAGTCAAAATTCTTGGGGCCCTTAACACTTCATTTGGATTGTAGTTGCACAATCTAAAGACATGATTCATATATGTCAATGCAAGTATATTTTAGATTTGTTGAATGACACAAACCTTCGGAACTAAAATTTTAAAGTTATCATTGGATCAAAATCTCATATTGTTAAGGGAATGAGGTGAGCTTATTTCTAACCCAGCCATGTATAAAAAGCTTATTGGTAGGCTCATCTATCTAATCCTTATAAGATCGGACATGTTCTATTAATTACAACTTTTCAGTCAATTTATGAAGCATCTGCATAATTAATACCTGAATATTGTATACAATATACTCGAATATATCAAGCGAGCTCCAAGACAAAGATTATTTTATTTATGCTCTTTAAGATTGTAGCTTCTCAGTGATCAGACAATTCTTCAATGTACACCAAATACTCAAAGATCAATTATAAGAATTGTTTTTTTCTTGAAATATCTTTGATCTCGTGGAAATCAAAGAAATAACATATTATTTCTCACTTCTTTGCAAGAATCAAATGTCGAGCAATGATAATTATTTGTTATAGACTTACCTGAATAAGATATCAACTATCTAATATAAAAATTAAATACCTCCAAGTAATCATGTATTATGATGATAGAATTGTCATACATATTGTCACAAATCTTATCTTTCATAAAAAAATTAACTATATACAACTAGATTATCGTCTAATCCTTAAAAAGATTCAAAATAGTAACATTATGATTAAGTACATCAGAAGCACACAACAAGTTAATATTCCCACCTAACATCTTCTAGGTACCATATTTTATTTTCACAACTTAGATATGATATTAGAAAATATTTATTCTCCATCTCATAGGGTGATGCCAAATTATGGGGTATCTACTAAGTTTAGTTGGCAAGTGGTACAAGTTATTAGGCAACCTATAAGATCGCTAGTTATGTGTTATATATGTACTATAGCATTTGCGTTAAAAAGAAAAGCCTGTGAATATGGTGTCCATTAGCCTTTTTTTCTTCTAACCCCCTTATGTAGACTTTTTTTCCTCCCATCAATAAAATAAAAAGAGAGAAAAGAAAAACTCAATTAAAGTTCCCTCCAATTGTCACTTTTACCATATGGTTCTCAATTGTTCAATTCTCAGTTCTCATAATCGTTTTGAATCTTTAATTATTTTCATCAAATCTTTTTTTCATAAAAAACTTAGAGATATAATAATTTTATAAATTTCATACTAGATTATAGATTGAACATGACTTTTAACCCTATAGAATACAACATAATTAATGAGAGCTTCGAAGAGGAAAAAAACAACCCTATTTTAACAAAAACAACCAACCAATGTCGTAAGGATCAACCCTATTTTTCGAACTAACAAAAGGTCCCCAAAATAGCATATGACACACCCATGCCCATCATCATCTCCTCTCTCGTGTCACTCTCCCCTAAGTACACTTCTTTAGTCAGCTTAACCTCACCCTCCCTTCTTCATGAATTGATTAATTATCATTTCAACTTTTTCATACCCCCAATTTACCCTCTATTGTGCACCAAAATCCCATAAGTGTATGATATTATCGTTGTCTAGTGCCGCCATGTGACGCTCATCTACAACAATGGTATTCACCCCTTCCATTCTCTCTCTAAAGTTGTACAAATACCCACCTTGCTTTATCTCCCACACACTTATTATACCTGCCACACAAATTAATGCATAACCTGAGTTCATGCACCCCATAATATTCCCTTGTGCTGCACCCGGAACCCTAAACCTACACACCTGCTCCAAGCTATCCACCTGACGCACTATAGCCAAACCGCGACTATCTACCACAACATACGCCTCGTTATTTACATCAACTGTGGTGGCAATCACCCCCCTTCTATGTTGTTTATCTCTACGCACCACCACTTGCTCTCTTAGGTCAAACACTATTTCTCTCAGCCTTGTGCATGCCACTGCTGATTCTTGACTTGTGACTCGAACTCGACCCACGAACTCTGTTAACTCAATCAACATGTGCCAACCCATTACAGATTCAGGGTCGGTTAAGGTACCACCTACAAATACTAGCTCCTCAGTGTGAGCATCCCATATGTGGAAGGCTCGACCAGGGACACCCGCATAGAGACCCACCCACCAACGCCCACTACCTGCAAAGTCCACCAATGCTCCATCATTAACCACGTCGCCCATGTGGGCTGGGCGAGGTTGATTTGACCCATTTATGACCACCACATAAATGTAGCCGTCCAACGTAGCAAATACCAATCTAGAGCCTGTAATGAAAATGCCAGAGACGGCTCGTGAAAAGCGACCAAAACGATGAGGGTGTTGGGACCTAAATGTGTTAATGTGGCGATGCGTGGCTAAGTCAAATATACGGACTGTGCCATCTGCAAATCCACATGCTAGGTAAAGATCAGAGAGGGCAAGGCAACGACACATTAATCCCTCCGAGTCATCTATGTCGGATTGGTCATAATGGAGGGTAACATGCATGTATCTCCCTGTTTGGAAATTTCTCGCTGTTTGGTGACGGTACAAGAATTCATCTCGCCATGTGGCTTGTAGGAGAAGGGTCCTTCCCCAAACTTGACTCGTTAGACGCTGCCACAAAAGATCAGAGCGAGAGACTGCTCGCCACGTAGAACACACCTACATGGGAATGCCACATACATTAGTTAGTAAAAGAAACTTGTTGCCGCATTGGTGCAAGGAGATAAATCACTATAAAATTAGTTATTTAAACATGGTAAGAAAAACTTGTAAAAGAAACACTTAAATATAGACACAGAGATAAAAGAGAGATGATT